TTTTTTACAGTAAGGGTGGCCAGAATCTGGAATGGGCTTCCAAGAGAGGTGGTACTATCACCTTACTTGGAGGTCTTCAAGAGGAGGCTTGATAGTCACCTGGCTGAGGTCATCTGACCTCAGTCCTCTTTCCTGCTGGGACAGGGGGTCAGACACAATGATCCTTTGTGGTCCCTTCTGACTCCACAATCTATGAATCTATGAGAGCCAGAGCAGGCAGGGTACGTGTGTGCATATGTGCATTATAAATGCAAAACAAACAAACAAAAAGGTTTATGTCAGTAGTTTAAAATGCCTTGCACTATTACTAAATATTGTTTTTTATATCGGCATCAGCTGGTATGGTTGGTTAATCATCAGTTATTGGTATCAGCCAAGAAAATAGTTATCGGTGCACCCCTAGAAATGACCTTAGCAGGAGTATTCTGGGTGGACCTGAAAATGATTGGGGTGAGGAGTAAAGAAAGCTGCAATAACCAAGAGGAGAGATGAAGCCTGAATAACAGTATTTGGTGCTGGGGGTAGGAGGATGATTTCTGAAGGTGGAGAAGTTGAGAGAGAGAGAGAGAGAGAGAGAGAGAGAGAGAGAGAACGCTCATGCGTGCAAGCAAGAGACAGAGATTTTATACAGAAATTCATGTGAGGTTTGATATCTATTAATAATTGTCATGGTTTACAATATGAAATAAGAAAATAAAGAACTAGATGTCTCCTTATATGCTGATCACCTTAAAAATAAAATTCTGATCCCTCAAGCAAAGCCAGAATTAAATGTATGCAGAGAGTGCATATGTACTCCCATATAGTGGAACTCTTGTTGGGATTTAGGAACCAACTTTTTACCTGCCCTTCCTCCATCTCTGAAGTTCTGAGTATGTTACCTCCTTGTAAAAGATGAACTCAGCAACACTTAATGCAACCCAGAAAGACGAGCTAAAAACAATACAAAATATATTCCAAAAAAATATATTACCTAGGACCCATTAGAAGAATCTAGAAAGCTAATACAAATTCAGGCAGAGAAAGATCATCTAAAACTTTCAATTGAACATAAACCCTTCACAAACACAAAATTATGTGATGAGAGAAAGAAAAGTCACTTTAGTTTCCTCTTAAATAAAACATCATTAAATGTATTTCCTAAGAAATATATTTATTTCATGAAACTATGTTTGAAATTATAGCAGTAAAATGAGTCTCAACATTTAAAATGGTAATTAAGACAAATTTCATTTAGGGAAGTTTAAGTTGTACATTTTATTTTGTATGCTATTCTTACATGCTAATGAGGAAGGAAATAAGAAAATGAATGGGACAAATTCATTCCTGGAGATATATAACTCATTCTTATGGAGCTGTACCAGGAAAGCTTAGCCCCATATGTCTTATAAACCATAATGATCATGCTAATACAAAAGGAACACATTAACTTTTCATATGACTAAAACCAAGCCCATTTATTAAGGACTATGACTAACATTAAAAGGCAAAAGTTAAATGAAGCTTTAGATTACACACTGGAGGTCTACATGGTAAAAAACCAAAATGGTTTAATAAATCTTGGCATTAACAAAAAATTAAAAATCTGTGGATCTACTCATCATTTATTGATGGATAAGACTCAATTCGAAAAGTTAATGACAGGAATTTCTGTGTGGATAGAAACTGCACACAAAAATGAGAAATCAAGACATTGTCAATGACACTCTTGATCTTAGAGCAGCTTTTAGTGGTTATTAACTCTCTTAGTTGATGAAATTTAATCAACTGTAAAGCTAATACGGTTCACTATGAGAAATGATGGTGAGACTTTACTTAAATATAACACATTATTCATGTATGTAGCTTTTTGATCTAAAGACCACACAGCACATCATATAGCACACATAATATAAACTCACTGCTAAAAATCAATAAAAAAGCCAAAAATTACTTTAATGAAAGCTTTTTTAAAAGTTGTACAGCATAGTTTATTCAAAGTTAGCTTCTCACACGTAGACTGGACAAAGTTTTATCCACCAGTTTAAGGAGTTGCAAAAGACCCAGAAAATATAGATTTATAAAAATCCACAAGGCTTAATTTAAGTTTGAGAAAACAGTTACTAAGAGACTAACAATATACCAGGTAAAATGTAAAAACTCTACTTTTAAACCCCATAATTAAAGTAGTTAACATGATTTTTTATTATTTCAAGTTAATTTCTATGTTTCTTTTTAACTGAAACAAAAATATCGCTAATGGAGAAAATCCATAAAATTCAAAGTCATTGTTGATCAACAATCTTTTCTTGCAACAGTCCATCTTCTTTTGAAATAAAGATCATCTGGTTATAATCTTTTGTGATAATGGGACACTTGGGCTTCTACAAACCTTGCTGTTCACTGTAGCTTTTAAAAAACTAATCTACATTGGGAGAAAAATCCAAACTATTAAAAGGTATTACTTGACAACATTGCCACCTACTGTACATTCTGAACCAGCATGAAGTGTGTTGTAGAAACCTGTATCCTGTAACAAAATTTGCTACAGAGAAGGTAGGGAGGGGAAGCTAGTTACACAAATTGTGCATGAAGCATTTTATAATCCGATATTGCTAATTACAGCATTTTGATACATAATCATTTGAATCTCAAAAAATCACATTTTCTATAATGCAATGTTTTCCATCAAAAAAACTAACACCCTGTGACACAAATTAAGGAGAATCATAGCTATACCTCATCACTTAAACTGCAACTTGTTGTCTCCTCAATTTAAAATTGCCTGAATTATGTCAGTCACCCAAATATAGCTTGCAACCTGGAACAAGCAAAAATACAATGTTCTAAACCAGTGGCTTCCAATCTCTTCACGGGCCATGATGCTCCCCTTGCAGCTCTTGACCCAGCTGCCAGGTAGCTTGTGGTCATTCAGACAAGACTGCTTCTGGTCTGAGCCTACATGTGATAACTGAATTGCTGTAGGGCCTGTGATCCTCCTCATAAGTCCCCTTACTTCAAAAATGGCTGCTTCTAAATAGTAAGAATCGGAGAATTAGAAATCTAATCTATTGATATAAAGTCTTTCCAATAATTTAATCCTTCAGGTCTTAAATTCCAATTTAAGGAAGGCTAAGAGGAAACTTCCCCTGAGGGCAGTCTGTCCCATAACTACATGATTTTTTACACTTCTAAAGCAGCTGGTACCGGGCAATGATGACAAATCTATACTGGACTACACAGACTTCTGAGCTGATCCAGAGCAGGAATCCTTGGCTGACCTAGGATTTGGGAGGTTTTTTTTACCATGCCCAATTATATTTGCTGAAAATTTTGTAAGCTTGTGTGAAAGCTGAAAATCAGATAACAGGATCCTGATGAAGGATTTAATCAGCAGTGGGGAAGTCCTTAGATTTCTTAATTGTATGTTTCCATACCAACAAAGTTTCTGCCACTTTGAGAGGAGGTTGAATCTAAATATATCAGAATTTATCTCTTCAGAGATAAACCCTGGGTGAATCCAGGTTATAGTGGACAATGAGCTGAATATAAGCTAGCAATGTGCCCTTGTTGCCCAGAAGCCTAACAGCATCCTGGGCTGCATTGGCAGGTGTGTTGCCAGTATGTCGAGAGAAGTAATTATTCCCCTCTATTCAGCACTGGTGAGGCCATATGTGGAATGCTGTCTTCAGTTTTGGCCCCCTTTCACCCTCAACTACAGAAAGGATGTGGACAACTTGGAGAGGGTCCAGCGGAGGGCAACAAAAATGGTGAGGGCATGACTTATGAAGAAAGACTGAAGGAACAGAGGGGATTTAATAGCAGCCTTCAACTACCTTAAGAGGGATTCAAAAGAGGATGAAGCTAGACTGTTCTCAGCAGTGGCAGATGACAGAACAAGGAGCAACCATCTCAAGTTGCAGCAAGGGAAGTTTAGGCTGGGTATTAGAAAGAATTTCTCACTAGGAGGGTAGTAAAACACTGGAACAGGTTACCCAGAAAGGTGGTGGAAGCTGCATCCTTGGAGGTTTTCAAAACCCAGCTAGACAAAGCTCTGGCTGGGATGATCTAGCTGGGGACGGTCCTGCTTTGAGCAGAAGGTTGGATTAGATGACCTCCTGAGGTCCCCTCCAACCCTCATTTTCTATGATTCTATGAATCCAAGACCTAAAAAGCATAAGGAGAACCAGGTATTGAAAGCAAATGTTAAAAAGAGAACTTCAAAGCAAAAGGGGACAGCAGAAAAGTATTGGAAGTTTATAGGGATTCTCAAAGTTTAGGAGACAAAAATCAGATTGATAATAGGAAGCTAGGCTCAACTCAGCAGTGGAGTTCTATGACACTTAACAAATCTAATGCTAGCAAAAACCCTGGATTTACTTTTTCTCACAAACACTGTAGCTGTGCTGCCATCTAGTGAAACATTATTTTGTGCAGCATTTATGATTTTGTACAAGATTAGTTGAAACAAATAGCTAAGACAGCATATGAAAAAGATAATCAACAAGATCCCGATCAAAAAGGACCCTACCAAAAAAAACGAAACAGCTTTCAGGACCTCGCACAATAAACTTCCCAGTACCTTTTGTTAACTATGACCAATTACTATAATTCAGTACCAAATGCCTTAATTTGGGCTAGATCTGCAAATGCTTTTGCATGTGCTTGTCCTTCAGCAAGTTACTTGTCTGACTGACTCCAGTAGGGTTTCTATGAGAAGAGGGAACCACCAACACATATAATATTCCACAATCAGGGCCAAAGTGAAGAATTAAAATGTTTCAGGGCATTACACATATCCAATAAAATTTCTTAAGAAACAAAGAACAAATTACACTGAATCTTAGGTTTAAATTGCTGATATAGGTTATTTCTCAACATAAGCCACAATGCACTTTTTACCAGACCATTACTTATACTACAAAGTCAAAAAAACCTACACCTATAATTACTTTAAAAGAATGTAGTAAAACCCTTTCAGAAATTTTAAGGGAAAAAAATACTAGTAAAACTGCACTCACCTGGGAAAATATATTTCCAGTCGGCACAACTCTCTTGTCCACAATACTATATAATATTGCTAACAGTCTGTCCAGAGGGAATGGCTTTGGCCCAAGTAGGTGATTGCTGGTCTGCAATAGAGGCAAAAAAAGAAAGAGTTCAATTAAGCAGATTTTTCTGAAGCACAGTGTCATTGGATATTATATATTATACCGTTTAGTCTCTAGATGGCAATGTATTTACTGTGTCCTTTCCAAAAGCCAATTTATACCTTACAAAATACTGGAGAGAGACAATCAACTCCTTATAAAGTTACACCCCATAGAGCTCCATTTAACCTGGCAAGTGTCCAAAATGCTCTATGCATAATAAATAAGAACATTTGGGCATAACAGAATGCTTTGCACCAAACCTACACTCTGTATCATGGAATTGAGAGAAGAAATATATCTTTTAAATGATCCAGTCCAACCTCAGGACAGAAGTTGGTGGACTATATTTCCTGGTAATCTTCAGATGTAAATAGCATTCTCAAATTATTTTATTATTTATTAGTAATGTGGGCTAAGCTTTTTAACACATCCTGTATTGTCATTTTGTCACATTTCTTTAGCTGAAGCACTTGTGCTTCCCTTTCCCTACATTCCTCCTGCCAAGATGTTCTTTTACTCATAAATGGTATAGCCTATCATTACTGCTCAACTTAAGTAGTATCTTGTCCCATAAGCTGTTCTAGGTCTGAATAAAATTAACACAATTGACAAAGTTAAATAAAATGTATCTGAATTAAGGAATATGTTCAACAATAACTTCTGTACTTGCCCCTGACTCTTTACTTGAGCCGAGTAAGAACTCCTGTCACAAACAACAGTTGGACTTGAAAAGAAGAATAACCAGCAGATACATAATGATCACTGCATTCAAAAGCTTGTCTAAGTCTATTGATTAATCAAGTCTGCTCCAACACGTTCTAATTAGAATGTGTTGAAACGCGTGTATAGGTACCCATCTGCACTCCTAAAAAAACCTCCTGGATTCTGGCAAGGATGGTTACTTTAAAAAAGAAGCAGAAAAGGGAGACCCAGAAAATAACATTTTTCCTCCAGGAAAAAATATAGGTTCCTTAAATTTTCCATTAGCTGTTAGTGAGTTTTGCAGGAAGTACCCATCAGTTTGGTTCATTATTGAAGTACTCTAGACTGTTTTGTCTAATGGTCTCGGATAAGGCAATGAGGTAGCGGAATATGTATCAGAGCATCTCCAAGACATGTTAGCAGCCCCTTCGCAGCAGGTGAGAGGATTGCAATGGTAAACAGAGCACAGAAAAAGTGACTTAACCACATCTATACACATGGCCAGTGACAAAGCCTAAATCTGAAAGCAGGTAGGCTCCCAATTCGATGCTTCAGACACAGGATTATCCTTCCTCTCCTCAAATCCAAAAGGGTGTCTATGGCTAGCTTGCCTTAAAACAAAACACACAAGTTAACAAATTCTCCAGAGTACAGGTTCTGTTTTTGATTTATTGCCTACACTCAGGATATAATCTATTCCACAGGTTTCAAAAATACACCCTGCAAAGCTACTTTATCTGGCCTCCCAGGCAACTGGAAGCTGGGGGCATTTCCAAAGGTAAGCGACCTGTTGCAGGCCACCGATACAGTCCTTGTTGCCCTGCAGCCGTTTGTTCTATCACTGTTGCCACCATTGTAGCAAGCAGTTATTTGGCCCATGCACTTGCCTTATCTCCTTCACTGCTGACCCCATACCAGAGCCGCTGCAAGGCCCAGGCCAGACCTAGAGCTACCACTGTGGCTGTGCCCTGGGCCAGAGCCGCCGTGTGCCCTGGACTGGATCCAGTCCACAAGAAAGCCCAGCAGTCTGGATCTGGCTCAGGGCACAAAGCAAGTTTGACACCCCGATCTATACTATGAGAATGAGAATAAGACCGTCTTGCTATGTGTATTTTCTCAAACTACTATAAAAAACATCCTTTTAGTTTTGGATGCTACTGAAGTCAGAATTGTTAGAACTGTTTTCTTGCAACATAGTCCAGCTCACTTAATGGACTTGCATAAAGTCAGTAAAACTGCTTTTACTTTAACTTCTTCCAATAAAGAAAAGTCACAGGAGCTTTGTAATTGCTTCCCCTACATTGCATCAAAACCTTTGAATTCTCCTGGGGGGTAGAATTACTTGCAGAATCTGGAAATAAACTGAGAACAATGCTGAAATCAGCTATAAAGTTTTGCTCCAAAACTAACTCCAAGAGACCATAAGTATTTAGGATTTTCTAAAATTAGGAATGTACTCAAGAATGTGCAATACCCTCTAGATTTCTGAATGAAAAAGGTACGAATTACCTAGTGCAACGGTGAAGTTGGCAGCAAGTATACAAGGGGGGTGGGGAAAAGAAGAAAAACCTTGTTCCTATGAAATTGCTACAATATTCTAGATAGGAAAAATGGCATACATGCCAGACAAAAGAAGCAGTTAGTTAAAGGTGCTCTGATATTTGTTTGGGTGGTCTTAATTAAAAATAAAGACTAATGAAAATTTATCAGTGTTCCAGGACAGAGCCCATCTCAACAATTAACTTTTATTTTTTTAAGTCTGCTATAAAACAATTAGAGATTGAGTAAATTCATATGGCAGCAACTGCAGAGATATTTTAAATGCCCTGAATTATAAACCTTCTTACTACATTCTAAAGAAATTTATTCTAAGTATCTGGGAGCTGTAATTGTGCCTCATTAAAAGAAGCATGAAGAATAATTTTTTAAAACTAAACTATTATCTCACTAGCCCTACTGGGGAGAATATTACCTATGCTACTATTCCAGCCCGAAGTACCTATTTGAGGGGTGCTGTCCAGGAGGCAGCACAAAGCAGCAATTTTTCAGTTTTCAATTCCACTTTTCCTACCAGACCACAGAAGACTCACTTGATTAATAAAGATGCAGAGATAACCTTTTTTGTGATTGGACATTGAGACGCAAACTTACCCCTTTGAAGCCACCAATGCAGCAGACATAACACCACGTTTTCACAAAAATAATGGAAATCTATGCAGACGTAGAAAAAAGGGCGCAAGCATTTTTGAACCTACACCAAGCACAGAATTACCACAACTGTATACAAAAAGCAATTTAGATTATTAGGTTTTTGCAGACCTAAACTCTAACAACTTGTTCATACACAGGATATGGGCACAAATGGAGATTCATAACTAGATACAATCTAACCACTTGCAGTATACGATCAGTTTTCACTTTCTCAAAGTAAAATGTTGAAGACGTATGCAAACGTTTCATGAAAAAAGAGTTAAGTCTTTCTAGGGAACAACATAAAGCATGTGCTTTGCTTAATGCTTCAGGGGTGTAGGTTGTAGCCATGTTGATCTAAGGACATAGGCAGAAAAGGTTATTTGGGTAAATCCGATATCTCTTATTACACCAACTCAAATAGTTGGAAAAATTCGTCTCAGCAAGCTTTCAGGCACAAACACCCTTCCATCAGGCCAAAGAAGGGTCTGCAGGTGGTCTATGCTCTTCCTGGATGGAGTGGTAAAGCAGGTAGAGGTCACTATATATGCAAGCAAGTCACTCAGTTAAAAGGTAAATTGAAGACGTCAGTAGGTGAGAGACAGGTGGTGTTGGAGGGAGGGGGAATTAATGTAGTTGTAGTCAAAAGATGGGAGACAAGAGGGTGGGAAGGAGAAGGAATGAGAATAGCTGGTAAAAAGTAGAGGGTTAACCTGGGGAGTCAAATGTTAGGCAGGTTATAATGTGTCATAAATCCAAATGTCTATATTTAGTCCATGATTTTTTGTATCCAGTAAGTTGATGAACTGAAGTTCATAGGTTCGTCTGTGAAAGGTATTTGGTAAATTCCCTTCACTTAACACTTAGAACTTCTAGATTCTAACATGCCAAAAACCTGGCAGTTCACTACTCTACCACTCTCCTTGTCAGCTTTCAGTGACAGCTAATTTCCATTCAGTAGCTACTCTCTCTCTGATCAAGTTGTCCTACCTCTTCCCCCTTTTTTTTATGCTTTTAGACAGCTTTTATTTTCTTCTTTCCTAATAAAGGGGACTACCTTGAAATTTTTCACAACCTTGTTAAGAAAGCCTACAAAGAAAAGAATATATGAAGTAACTCATCTCTCATAAAAACATAGTGGGCTTTGGGCTAGTTTTTAATTTGTCTAGCCTTAATTCACCTCTGTCACTTTATTGGTGTTAGATAAATTATCACAATCTGAAATGTTACCAAACTTGCTCTCAAACCACCAAGGAACCAGAACGTTTCATTAAAGAAGATAGAAATGGGAACAGGTAATTTACTGTTCTATACACTGGAAAGATCTATGGCTGCTGACAGATGTGAAAGAAAAAAAAAAAAAGCTTTACTGGAAGAGACAGCACACTAGTTCGACCTGGCTCCATAGTGTCTGCATAGATTGTGAGCTTCGGATGGGTTTTTTGGTGCTTCCATCTGAAGCTGATTCAATTAGCTATTAAATAAAAGCACCAAAAAAACCCCACTGAAGCACCCAATTTACACAGACGTTGGGCAAGCTGGGTTGAACTAATGCAATGCCTCTTCCAGGCACGCGCTGGGTTCGGTGTGGGGACACACCGAGTTTAAGGTAAAGTACCGTTTTTGGGGAGTTTTCTTACATCAGCATCCTCCATGACTATGTCCACTTCACGTAGCACAGTGGCTTCCAAGAGCCCTTAATGAAAAAGGTACCTATAACTCAGATTATGATTTTTTAATGATCATTAGAACACTGTAAAAACTTATATAAGCTTCCATTTAGAAATCATATTTGTTGCTAACATGATATGATTTAATTTTACAGTAAAAATACTAAGAAACAAAAACCAAAGTCACACCAGATGAGTCTTTACATTTTAAATAGCTTCCATGTAGATATCTTAAACATTACAGACTATTAGTATATATAAAATTCAATTCAACAGAAGAAACAAAGATAAACTGCTATCTAGACAAATAAAAAATAGTAAAATAAAAGTTGTTCGCAAGAAATTCAGTAACTGTCAACTTTTGTCCTCTGCAGTCAGGGTTGTCCACAGTATTCAGATCCATTTATCATATAAACT